TTCTCCTCGATCAAGTAGTTCGAACAGAGGAAGCCTACCGATGCCCAGGACAGCATCGTTTTTCGAGTTTTGGGGTCCAGCTTGGCCCCGGGGTCCTGGATGGCGCCCCTCCAAGAAGTTGGGAAGGGCCACCCCTTGGGGTTACGGACCACAAAATAATCCCGCTTCCAGGCGGGAATCTTATTTGGTAGCTCGTACAAGAGCTTATAGCCGCGGCGGGGAGAGAGGTAGTNACCACAAAATAATCCCGCTTCCAGGCGGGAATCTTATTTGGTAGCTCGTACAAGAGCTTATAGCCGCGGCGGGGAGAGAGGTAGTAAAAACGCCTCTCTGGTGGAACCCTGGGAGTGGAATTTTTTATACAAAAAATAGAGGCAAAAATGTCAAGGTTCAAGGGGAGACAGTACTCATAACATAAAGATATAGTCCCAAACATGTTTCGAATAGCGTTGGGATGAAGCTGATCGATGGTGACATTAAAATGGTTTAGCACCTCCACTATTAAGGGGTGTAGGGGAAGACGCAGGCTAACCTCGAGTTGTTCCTGGTAGATGACTATCTCATCGGGACCATGCTCTCAAGGAAAGTTACTAGTGGGGAGACTGTAGACAAGGTCCCTAGGAAGGTGAAAATAGCGGATTAGAGAACTGAGCCTCTCCGCCGTCATAGAAAAAGGACCGAAGGTGTCAGGCTCCCTGCCCCGGAAAGTAGATGCCACATCACCGGAGGTCTCCTGAGCCTCCAGGACCTGCTCCCAAGCTCCCCCCAAGCTCGAGGGAGCCTCATCGTCCTGGTTACTAGACCTGTTCATGGGCCGGGTGGCCCGACGGGCTGGCCCGGCCCCCGGACGGGCTTGAACAGGCTTTTTGGTCCACGGGCTTAACCTCGGGCCGAGCTCGGGCTTTGCCAAAATAGCCCAGCCCGAGCCCGACCCGGCCCAACCTATAGTTAAACCTAAGTAAAAACCCTATGTGATGTCCATTTGAATAAATTTTTTGATTTAAGAAGGTTGTTGATTCACTTGTAGGCCCATTGTTCATTTAAATAGGGGAAAAAAACATCTGAATTAAAATAGATAATGTCCATTTGAATAGGAAAAAATTCAAATTTCTTTTATTAGGTCGGGCTTCGGGCTCGGGCTCGGGCTTCAGGCTTTTTATCAGGGCCGGGCTCAAGCCCAAGTTGTAGGCCCGTTGGTCGGGTTGGGCTCGGGCTCGGGCCTAACATTTTTCTGTTAATAAAGAGTAAAAGCCTGGCGTGGCCCGGCCCATGAATAGGTCTACTGGTTACCGCCCCGGTAGTAGGTATGGTATGGGTACAGACATGATTGAGAGTGATTGGGACTCACTGAAAGAGACGAAACGAAGTAAACTGAGGAAATCGGGTAGACTAGATGGATGCATGACCTCAGAATCCGAAGGCGGCAATATGGCATGAAAGGAAATGAGGCCCAGGGGGTCCTCCTATTTATAGTCCCTGTGCCTTCGAATCAATGGCCCAGATCAAGGAAGATCTAACGGTTCACAGTCGAGCTGACCGCACGCCTTCTGAAATCGAAATGTGACTGGCTGCACGTATCCCATGATTGAGGTAATGACAGCTGCACAACATCGGGAGTTAAGAGCCGCTTCAACGCGTTTTTCTGTATTTGAAAAGTCAGAAAATCCCCTGATTCCCGCGCATGCATTTAATATGAGCAGTCAATCAGGTTTGAATTTCGGTCAAATCAATCCGTCACACTTCATGAACTCCTCGCACTAAGGCTACACTCTTAGCTCGAGAAGTGGGGGCAATTGATGGAGGATGATTTGACCCGACCTGCTGAGATGATGACACATGGACCTGACTCAGCACGAGTAATAGCTCAGCACCATAGCTTGACCGCGACCAAGTAACGAGCCTGTAGAACAGCTCGCTACGTCATAGCTCTCTATAGGGGGAGCTCGCTACAACGCGAGCTCCAGGTTCCCCGAGCTATTGAGAAGGGAATACTCCAAGACTATTTTAGCTCGCGAGCTAGGGAAACCAACTCGCTCCAGCACCTGAGCAGAAGAATTGCCCCAAAGACCAACCTTGATGAGGGTCACCTCGAAGTACCCCCAAGAGCTTGCTACAAAGTAGATCCTGGCAAGGATAGCTCGCTACGAAGTAACTTGCGAACGAGTGATGTGACGCTCTCAGGAAGCTTCCATCTGACAAGACCGTACCGGTCAAACTGCACTACGTCTCTCAACTGGCGGCGCAGTCCTTGTCCTTTCTACAGTCTGCACCCACGTCTCTCGACAAATGGAGGCATGCCAGCCCCTTTGGGACGTGTCACTCAACCAAGCAGATGGTACACTATAACGATCACCTGCATAGATCTGGTAGCTAACGGCTGCGACAGGAGCCCAGTGGCGGTTATGCCTGATTTGACAAGAACGCCCCTATAAAAGCCTTTTAGGCGAAGGGGAGAGATACATTCACTCACTCTGAACTTGGATTATCTTACTTACTCACGAGTTGACCTCGCGAGCACAGTGATCTAGCGCGACCTACACTCTTAGCTGTTTATACTCTTTCCTTCCTCCCCAGCGTTCTAACTTAAGCTTCGGAGTATTCCCGTCGGGCAAATCCCCTGGAATCCTTCCTCTTCGTCTTCTTAGGTGTCGTCTGTTACCAACAAGGAGCCAGTCAGCAGCTAGCAAGGAGTGCTCGGATCGTGCCGCATCAGTGGAGGATAGGGCTATTTATAGGAATTGAACACAATTCAATTGCCCAAAATACTCAAAAAACTAGTTGTTATTTTGTTGTTGGGAGGGGTATTTTGGTCATTATAAAGTTATTTATAACTTTACCCAAAAAGCCCCCCTAAACTAGTTGTTATATAGCTGTTAGGGGGCATTTGTGTCATTTTTTCAACCCCCCATAAGCAAAATACATAAATACCCCCTAATATGGTTGTTTATAGCTGTTGGGGGGTATTTCTGTAAAACCCTCCCCCCCAAAAAGCTAAAACTAGCCTAGCCGTTGGGCCCCTCTGGGGGGGGGGGGGGCAACAGCTATATTCTAGGCGGGTCGAGCGTGGCCCACTATGAGCCCGCGGACGGTTTGTATCGTGTCGTACCGGCTTGTGGGCCTCAAACACCAGGCTGAACATGGCGCTGACATCTGTGTCGGGCCTGGCACGGCTCGTGGGCCTTCATGTTGTGTCTGGCCATGTCGGGCCATAGGTGGCCCGGCCCGATTTACTCCTCTAACTAGAGTGCCCATTGAGACGTGACCCCAACTTTCTTGAATAGAAGATGCAAGAATTTGTGACTGTTCATTTTTTGTTAACATTTGGATCGTTGATAAAGAAAATTAGATGACACTCAAAGGGCATTTGTGCCTTTTCAATTACCACTTAACGGGCTGGTTAACGATAAGTTCTAGATTGGCAAGTTTTGAAAGTTTGGGTATTGAACTGCCACATTTTAAAATTCAGAGACCAAAGTGGCATTGGGGATTTCCCTTTAGGCTGTGTTTGGTTTGAAGGAAAAAATAGGGAAATGAAGGGAAAGGTAGGGAAACCTTTACAAAACTTGTATATGTTTCCCTACCTTTTACTTCAAACCAAACATAACCTTAATATTTTTTTTTAAGAAGGCATATTTAGATTCCCATATTTAAGATCATAGAAGTGAAAAGCACAAAAAAATCCAAATTTATTCTTGATGGAAAGGCAAATAATAGATTCTCTACAGTTTTTATCCACCCCACAAAACAAAATGAATGAGACAATGTAACGCGTTTGCCAACTGCGCCACCCAATACCATTAGCTAATCATCCATTCATCACTATTAAAGGAGATTCAAAGTTAATCATTGAAAGCATCAATCCAGTCGTATGGCAATTACATGCCCTAGAAGGCTAGAACATAGGAAATGTTATTCAAGATATCTTTGGTCACGAGGCCAAGTTAGGCCTTTCTTGAGATGCTTCTCTTAACAACTGTGATTTGAGATCTTTGGAGCTGCTCCATCCATCCTTCGCATGTTAAATTCATGGAGAGATGTTTTTAATGCGTCTGCATCTGCTACCCACTATTTATTCCCACATCTATTCCCAATGCTTAGCTGTTATATATATGAGAATAAGTAGTGGGTAGCAGATTCGAGCCCGTTTTTAATATGTGGGTGGATGCTATTATGTCAGGGTGTTTTTTGGGGAGGAGATCCCTATGGGTTTAGTGGTCAAAGGTGTAGTAATCAACCGAATTTCAGTTTTCAGTCGTGAAAGAGTTCATGGCCTCTTTTCAAAGCATTAATCCATTCAGTTCAGCCACTTTTTGTCAACAAACGGATCCCTAACTCCCTAAGTAAAATATAAAGAAAAGAATCGGAATTTGGATTAGATGCATCAATGTATTAGGATGTTTACACGTGGCTTAGGGACGTCAATGGACAACTAGGTTCACGTGACACCAATGCCTCTTTGCTCCTTCTTCCCCCACTATCTTTTCTATCAAATCCAGCACTATCTCATTGGAAGAAGAGAATCCCCCCTGTGGGCTTGTGGAGGTTGGGGCCCCCACTCCCCACCCATTGCATTCTTGATTTTGGGCCGTTCTAACAACCTTGTATAAGTCCATAATTGAAGAATGATAACTTAAGAGGCATGATGCACTTTTAAGAACTGATGCCTGAATCTGTCCACGTGTCATTGCCACCTCAACATCTCCACGTCCACATCATCGACAGTGCTCATTATTCATTTCGGGTCCCATCCATTATTATTTTACGGGTAAAGAGAGGCGAGAGGGAGAGAGAGTATTATTGGCGCACAGCTGAGTAAATTGCTTACTCACCCTGTAGGAGGGTATTTGTTGTTGTGCAATGTGGGGATCGTGATTAATTTATCGGTTAACCAATAAATCCTTACTAAATACCAGCAAACGAACGTGGCCTAAGAAAATACCTAATAATCAGATATAAAATTAATAAAAAAGAGTAATAAACTATTAATTACATCACAAACCAAACCAAATCAAACCCATATTTTATTGCTGAACCAAACTATCAAGGTGCACAAAAACAGCAGACCAAACAGTACTCAACTCAAACCCTGTGTTGTTTATTTCACAGTACGTAATATAGGAGAGAGATACCACCCGCAAAAGAGAAAGACTAGTAAACGAAACAAAGGACAAACACATATGAAAGATGAGACCAGCATGAGCGATCTAAATAAGCATAGTAATAAGATGGTGGATGGAGTTGGAGACACAACAAAACATACACATAACCAAACGCAAGGGCAGCGCACAAAGCAGGTCCAATCGACGACGGGTGACATTACATAACATCTCTAACTTCGAATCTGTTACGATTCTTGACAACAATGTCATACATGTGCATCGACCTGAATCTGCTGAAATCCCTGGGGAGAGAAATGAGGTGAATCGTGGATGGCTTGTGGAACTGGAACAGGTCTGGGTCATCGTAATACCTCTCCCATCCCAGCTCCAACAGCTTCTGCTCAAGAACTGCATAAGACGTCATTACCTCGTTAGTTGGCGTGTGAACCAAAACCTTGCGCCTGGTGGTCGACGCTTGTCGACTACTTCCGTCCAGAGACTCCACCGCCAGGTTTTCAACCAGGCGAACCACACCGTTCTTGAACACCCACACACCAGACATCTCGATATCGTCGAGACGATGAGAGAATTAATGAAACACCAAGTGTTTGTGTTTTGGTTTCTGGGACGTGGGAAAGGAGTAGACCTCAGTGGGGTTTATATAATGCTGTGTTCATGTGTTGGGCTAATGGAGTAGCCCTTGATGTTTGATATCACCGGGGCGTTTTCGCATGACGTACGTAGCATCGACGCCAGGGCGTTCTGGCCCATTTGACGAATTAGGAATCCCCTCAGATAATGAAAACATATATAATCGATGTTTGAGAAAACTGAGAAGCAAATTCAGTGCGGATCTCTTGCCCATGAGAATCCTGTCCACGTCTACCCACAACACACTACCCCCGCCTGAATTGGGAACATCTCCCCTTGTATAATATTATGTAAAGAATGAGATATTTTTCATGTGTGACTGCAATTAATGTGGGCAGGTTCTCGTGGGCAGGAGATCCCGACTCAAGCAAATTGATATAAATTGAAATCCCACAACCCAATTTTGCATTTTACTAAAACACCCCTTATTTGACCTTAATGTCTATTTTAATAAATTTAATAAAAAAAAATGCTATTTTTTGCCGTTGGCAAGGCACCAACAATCACTTTATTTGGATATATTTGGTTAGTTTTATTTTCTATACAAACAAGTGTTAAAGGTGCTTTTGTTGGAATAAATAACCATGAGCTCATGCCTTTTAACATTTTTCACTCAATTTGGGTGTGATCATGTTATTATTCAGATGGTAAAATAAATAGTCTTTAATCAAAAGGTAATTAAATAAATAAATTGCAAAGTATAAAAATATTTTAATAAAATAAAACTATAAGATTGGTTTAAATAAATCCATAAAAAACTATAGAGGATATGTTTAAGTAAATGATCGATACTAATTATTTTTACTCATGATTTTTACGTTTTTATTGAACAAAATTCCAGACCAATGTTGCCATACGAAATCCGCTCGACTATGAAATAGAAAAGATATGATATCAGAAAAACAACTATCAATAAATTCAAATTATAAAAGTGATAGCAAATAAAGTATTATTTATCAAAACTTTTTTCATATTATATCTTTTCCGCATTAGATTTTCCCAACATTGACGGTCCGGGGATTGAATTTGAGTGGTCAAAATTCTTACGGTATCATACATTCATACCTTCCTCACATCACAATAAATGAGTAGGACCCGTAAAATGAATTCGGGTTTCTATGGTTTTTCTTCGGCTGCTCCACGGAAGAACGAAGGGATGGGTCGTACCTTGACACTAACCCTTTTCACTATTAATATTCTTTCTCTCCCTTTTCCTCTCATTTTGAAGCGAAGAGATATTTTTTCTTTTTCTTTCCAAGTTCACGTCAAATGCAAATTCACGTGCAATTTCACGTGAATTGACACAGGAAGCAGATCGTATGGGTCCATCATGTTGGTGGTCGCCTTCCCAAAAAGGAGGTGCTTGGCAATCGGCAGAGATATGAAATCCGTTTTATATTGTTATTATATGTACGAGAAAATATGAAAGATTTAATAATTTTTTTATTATTAATTAATATTAAATTAATAATCAAAATTTATTGTTAATTAACTTAAAGTATTCAAAGTTATTGTTAATATCTAAAATTTTAATAATTGTATTTTTCATTTAATGTTGATGTATAGAAAATAATTATTACTAAATTAATATGAATAAATATTTTTTATAAATTTAGTTTTATTATAATTTGTAGTAATTTTGATTAACTTTAAATAAATAAAAATAATTACAAAAGCTAGCATTTTTATTAATTTCACTATTAATTAACAATTATATAGGAATGACAACGGGGTGGGTTCAGGGCGGAGCATCCCATCCTATCCCTGCCCCATAGTCAAGACACTCTACCCCATCCTTGCCCTGTCCCCAGTGTCAGGCGGGTTCAGGGCAAGGCAACCACTCCTCAATGTCGGGCGAATTCAGGGGCAAGGCACCCCACTCTTCATCAAAGATGGGAATCCTTAAATTTCCCCACCCCATCCCTAGTATTGAGCTGGTTCAAGTAGATGTCTAAATCGGCCTGCATGCGGCCCCACACAATGTGCGGGCCATGCAGTGTTGGTTGACGGGGCATCTTGAGCTATGCCTCTGGAGGGTCGGTTTGGCATGGCCCACGGCTTGAGCCTGCACGGGCCCTGCTGTGTCATGGGTCAAGCCTTGGGCCAGGCCAGGCCGTGGACCAAGCCAAGCTATGAGAGGTCCATTTTTAAAATAAAAAAATTGAAAAAGATGTTTAAATTTTTATTTCATATGATTTTTGATGTATACAATTTTTTATATATACAATAAGACCTCTTCATGGGTCGAGTAGCTTGATGGCCCAGCTCGGCCTGACCTGTAATTTTTCAGACTTGTGCAAAATTTTAGGCTCGTGGGCTCGAGCTCGGGCTCTCAAATAAGCCCAACCTGATACTATTATATATATAAAAAGTACTTATGTTATAATATATATATATATACTTCTTAAATTATTAATAAATATCAATTTAATATTAGAAAATATAAATTAGTTTATTAAATTATTATTAAATTAATATAATATTAGTTTATAAAAGTATACTAAAAATAAGATATTTTGTGTACAGATCGGGCTTCAGGCTTAGGCTCAAGCTTTATGCTTTATATAAGGGCTGGGTCGAGCTCAAGATCTAGGCCCAATGTTTGGGCTGGGCTTGGGCTTGGGCTTGCACATTTTTTGTTGATAAAGAGGCTTGTGTTAATTATAAAAGTATGATTTTTTACAAATTAAAATTTTTATTTAATTCTAGTCCAGTACAAAAAATATAAAACATTTCTATATATATTAATATAAAATTTGTTATTTAAACATTGTATAATAATATTTACCATATATGCATATAACTTCCAAGTTGAGCTTATTAGGGGTTGTTTAGCTTAGGCCCTATCTACTGACGCCATCATTGGACTCCAAAAGTTTGATAACCAATTAGACTTCGAATTTGATTATCCCTAATAATGTGTGGGCATGGTGCATATCTCAGTTAGACCTAACTCAAAAGAAAATAATTGCTTGATTCTGCAAATTCATAGACCTAATCAGGTTAGGTTAAGTTATAAACAATTTGTTACTTTTTATTATTAATTATTTAAAATATTTTTAGCTATTAAAATATTGTAATTATTAAATTACTGTATTTATTTAAAACATAGTAATTCCATGAAATTATCATATTTACAGAAATATTGCTAATTTCTTGGCTAAAACTAATTAAATGTAATTTTTTGGTAATTAAATATAACTTTTTGGTAATTAAATGTGATTTTCTATTATTCATAGCTTAAACTATAATTACTGTTAATTACAGTTTAAAAATAATTAGTTTTTAATTATATTACAATTAATAATTAAAATACATTATTTTTTTCATTATTATTCAATATTTTTTGTAATAAAATACAATTAATTTAATTTTTTAATTATTTTTGTATTTTAATTAGCTTTAGTTTTTTTCAGAATTTTCGGATTTTTAATTGGTCTTTTTCATTATTATTCAGTAATTTTTGCATATGAGTATTTTTCAATAATTTTCAGTATTTTCAGCATTTATTTTTTCATATTAATCACTACAAAATTAATTTGCATTTGTTTTCAGTAAAAATAAATTAAATAACTAAATAAATACCATAGTTAATAAAAAGTATATTTAATTTTTAATAATTTTCAATAAATAGCTAATTTTCAATAATTTTAAAATAAATAAATAGCTAAATTTCAATAATTTTTGGCTTGGGTATTTTTAATAATTTTTTGTATTTTTTAATAATAAAATAATATTAATTATATTTCAATTATTTTCAGTAAATACCCTTATTAATATAAAATATATTTAATTTTCAATATTTTTAATTATTTTTAGTATTTTAGTTATGTTTAGTTTTTTTTAGGATTTTATGATTTTTAGTTAATTGTTGGTATTTTTCATTATTATTTAGTAATTTTTGCAATAAAATAGGTTCTGCATTTTAAATTTTCATTAATTTTTATTATTTTTAATGGGTTCATATGCACAATAAAGGCCTAAACTCATAAAAAATATTAATTAATTAAAAATCCATTAATACAAACCTATCTAATAATATTATTAAAACTATCAATTAATATTTTTATATTTAAATTTTTTATTTTTAATTAATTGTTGGTATTTTCATTATTATTCAGTAAATTTTGCAATAAAATACTATTAATAAAATGGATTCTGCATTATTTTTAATGAGTTCATTATGCACAATATAGGTTTCAACTCATAAGTTATCTAATAATATTATTAAAACTATCAATTAATATTTTTATATTTAAATTTCTTATTTTTATTAGCGTTTATTAAGTTTGATTTTTAAGTGGAATTGAAACACATTTTTAATATTTACTAAGTTTTGTTAATATTTATTTTTAGTAAAAGTTTAGTGGGTTTTTAAATTAATAATATTTTGATTGTTTAACCTCAACCTATTTATATTATTATTACTCTCTCTCTCTCTCTCTCTCTCTCTCTCTCTCTCTCTTAAATGTAATAATAACATGCATTAAAATAAGAGGACTCGGAAAACCCAAAGGCCTCTGTAATATTGTGCAACTTTATTAATTTAATCAAGATAAGCAATGATTGTTGTTTTATATTTTTAAAACAAAAGAAAATACAAAAAATGGAATAAATAGATAAATAACTTCTCTCAAAGGAGAGACATGATGACATGGGCCATCTAATTTTATTATATATATATATATATATATATATATTGGATTTAACTTTTATGACCTATATGGTAATTAAGATTATGCTTTATATATATAGTATAAATATCTATTTAATAATTTAAAGTCCAGTTATAATGATGTATACGTAAACAACAACTTTTAGTTACACAAAAAATTGTGTCTTTCTCTTTTCTCATGGGGCTATGCAATGGAGGTAACCTGTCTCCATACACATAACCCCTTCACCATTAGTTAGTTATCCATCTTTCCTTATGCCTTCATCAATGTTCATCATCACTATGGA